TTATTCAATTTGAGCAGATTGGATGGAAAACGGTTGGTAATTAAATAGAGCTAATTATGCTAGTTCTTTTGTTTTCTATTGTCTAAGTAATCTACACTATCATGATTGCGCTATTGTGCACTATTTAGCAAATACCAGTGTTTGCTGCCCTTCACATTTTGCACGAATTCTTTTTATATTAACGCAACATCAACAAACCCCTCACATTAAAAATGCCTTTATGTTTGTCCACAGAAAATGCATTGAAAGTTCTTACCTCAGTTAAGCAGTTAGCATAACATCTTGCCTTCGTAACAGTTGCCACATCTTTCACCACAGTAGCATTGGCAGWCAGTGCCAAGGCGAAGAAYATCATTGACAAAGATTTCAAAATTCTGTTAGYCATCTTCATGTTCAGTGAAAAAGAAACCTCATCCGTTTCAAAACAATTTGGAAACTGATGCAGTGGCATCAACGCAAGAACTCTTCGCATTAAGCACTGCAATGACGTCACAGACTAGTGAAGTGTGAAACGCGGTGGATTGGTGCCAATCAAATAGATCAATGTGAAATACGACGGTATTTTTTTAGTCTAGAAGTATTCTCAGCATTCAAAACTTAAACTTAGAAGGACTTAACAATTTATTATTTCAATGACGTCATAATCATTATAGCATGTAGTTGAAAAACAACGTAAATTTTCTTGGTGTGTGGGAATTCAGTAAATTTGAATGAAGTATAGTATGCATATCTTTATTGTTTTAACCTCGAAATTAACAATCTCGTACCCAGAGCCTGCGTTCTCTTTCGGGMTCTGGGTACGAGATTGCGAAAATAATAGAAACGCCATAATATGACTTGTTATAAATATCACTATATCTATATTGGAATCTTTACTAACGAGAATGGTTTTCCTCTTGAAAGACTTCAGCTTCATTGTTTTTCTTTGTGTCCCTTAACAATGGGTCCAAACGAGGCAGTCATTTTCCTTTCACAGTTTACTCTAGAGTACAGTACTCAAATAGAAACACACACAAATACCGACACCCAAACACAAAACATAAACAACAAACACAATTAATAGAATTAGACRCTGCGAGGGATATGAATAAGGCGAATATCTATWCCACGTTTTTAGCTCCACTCCACAATTCAGGTGAAATCAGGTGAAACGTTTCAGCGCGACTTGCAAAGCGTAAAAACCACTATAGATCACTAATATTTGACAAAATAATAGCGATAAACTTAAGTAAAAATTGCTAGAAGTTTATGAAACTGAAAGAAAATAAAAAACTTTTACAAGATAGCTAGAGCTCCAGTCCTTTAGAAAAAAGATGAGGACGTATGTCATGGAAGGTTACGCCATAATAGCCACATCCAATTTTGCGAGTACGGAACGAGCGGAAAACGGACTTTGCGAAAGTCTAATTTTAGCCTAGAAACTGCGGTTTTGCAGTGATGTTCAAATCAATGAGGTGTTCCSTGCACGATAAAAAGAACTTGGAACTCCAGTAATTCGAGAGATGYATTGTAAGSACWCCCAGTTAAAACAACACCGACAACACCACAGAACACAACATCAACAACATCCAACTCATAAAACATATCTTTGGGTWSTTTTTTTAATCAATTCCTACTATTGGTTACATGTATTGGGTTACATAATATGAAAACTAAAAAGACGCTTAGCACTCCACACAAACKTTGATATCTGGTGCAATTTTTACACGCTKGAGGTCGCATGACATCACAGAAAGCTCTACTGATGTGGTTATAATATAGATTCCTGCTATTGCTTTGTATGAAATATCTGTACGTCTATAAACACTAATCAGTTTGTATGCTCAGCATTTCGACTACACAGACCTATGTCTTACTTTCAGACGGTGAATTCCACATGGTCAGTCTTCGTCGATTTTAGAAGACTGCAAAAAAGAGGGACAGAATATTATATTAGAAGTTTGCGGTTTAATAGTCATTTGCAAGAAGGAATAGATAATATCTCGGTATAAATGTATATACCTATTTCAATTTAGATTTTACACAATGCAGACTTTTGTCCCCTTTACCGGCCATCAGAGTTTTTCTTCTTCTTTCTACATTGTTAATGTCAGGTAACTTTTGAAGTCAAATTCAAAGCGTTTTTTTTTTTGCATGTCATTGAACAATATATCAAAAACTGCGAGGAACCCCATAATATAATATTCTAAAATATTTAGGATACTACGCGCGCTGTGATTGGTCGAAAACCATGTTTGATTACAGTATCAAAACACGCTCGCGCACGTCAAAAATTTCTTTTTTTCTTTTAATTTTAGAAAAGAAATAAAAGACGAAATTCCGTGTTTGATACTCTGATCAAAACACTTGGGATGTAGGGAGAGCACTCGAAAAGCTGGAAACCACTCCGCTACGCGTCGTGGTTTCCTACGCTTCTCTCGTGCTCTCCCTACATCCCGNCACAAACTTTATATTTTATTGTCTAGAATACATTACCTCATCATATGTTGAGCCCCTTTCCTTGTTTTTTTGTTCAATCAGTCTATCAAGAATGGTTCGAATTACAGATGCCCTAAAATAAAATAAATTTGACRGTTATTGTAAAAACAGTTACTAAAAGAAAAAGTTTGTTTCAATTTTTCTGATTATCACCATTTTTTATTCCACATTTGACCCTGTCATTACAAGAACGTTACTATCAATATAGTAAGGTTATGTTTCAAGCCTTCCCTCCCCAAAGGAACAGATACATAGGCTAATGTCTTGTTCTCCTCCCCTCCCCAGAGGGTAAACCTCACCATAGTCCAACAATGTACATTGCCTTTATAAAATGTACATTACAAGGCATTTACCCTCTTAACAAAAGTGCTTGTACTTTTGCCCTAAAGAGGTGTGCAAAGATAACTCAGATGCTGATTTAGACTAGRGAAARAATGAGTTAATCACACTGTTTCAATCTGTTTGATGGAAATTTTGAAAAMTTAAAAGTAGTGTGTMAATTTGAGACMATCTAGCACACCTAAAACTTAAAAAAAGAAAGTGCCCCACCAATTCATTGCTAGGTTAGAGCRGATTTCGTATGAGTGGGAAACGGACGGWACTGTACTGTGTCCGTAATTGTACTGTAACCAAATTCTAGTGCCCCATTGTTTCAACAAAATTCTGCAGGCCAGGTGYGGTAACYGTGCGGTAACCGTGTCCCACTCATACGAAATCTGCTCTAGAAGGGTTAGGCCTTACTTTGACTCAATGCCGCCTCCTGGAGGAAGCCCCTCGATTTCTTCAGCAGAAAGGCTTGCCATAGCAAAGCTTACATCAACATGTGTTAAATCATTTTCTTGTTCAACAAGGGCTGCAGAAATAGTAAAAGGAATCATTACTTAATGTTTAAAACATGAGCAACAATGTTGTATTATAACATGAGCAACAATGTTGTATTGTGATTCATAAAATATCTGAGATTTAATATAATATTTGAAATTAGTTATTCTAATGTCAAAGTATAATCATGTATTGCCAGATGTCTGTTTTATATAGCTAGAAACACTTTGAAAAGAGGCATACTACAGCAATTTATGTCATCTAATACATACATAGTGGGATGACTAGAGAAGCAAGAACAAATTTTGCTACATTCTTGTTCTTAAGTTACCAAATTCATTAATAATTCATAAGGTAAACACAATGGAAAATCATTGCTATGACTGCATCTTTATATGAGCAAGAGATTTGTCCTGATTTGCATACGAMTTTAACTTCGATTTTCTCTTRCAAATGATATTTYATCCTRATTKTTTTTYMRAA